AGGGGGTAACGTGGGCAATTGAGCCTCAGGGTCTTTCTCGCGCTTCGCGCGAGCACTTGTTGAGTTTCTGGGGCGAATGGGAAAAAAAAACGTCTGAAGGACAGATTTCCTTCGATTGATTAGCAATTATTTAAAAAAAAATAGTGAGATGTCTGATTATATAATGTTTGATTTTTTTAAGTATGTGTTAATGGATAACAAAACAAATTTGGCTAACTTTCTGTTTGAAAACTGATTTAACTTACTTGAAAGTATATATTTGACAAATATGGTGTTCGTTCCTTGGCCTGTAAAAGGAGAAAATATTTAAAATTAGATCATCTCCATGGGAACGTAAGTGATTAGGAAATATCTTTGACAAAGCTTTTGTTTTAGCTCCTTCTTGATAATCAGGGAATCAAGAATTGTTTAAAGCTTTACAAAAGAAGGTTCATGGACATCGGGAAGGGTGTTTTTTTAATTGAATTCAAACAGAAAGAATAGTCGCTGGTTCAACGACTACTCAACATGTGGGCTTGTTTAAGCTTGATTTTAAACAGAGGTCCTCAGCATTTGCAGAGCTGTGGGGTAAATTACTAAACAATGCTTCTAATATTTTTCATTAATCATGCTTTCACTATTATAAGATTAAACCCCATAATTTGTAATGTAAAATAGATAGCCGTCGTAGATAAGTTCAATTCCAGTCGCGTCTCTGGTGTATGATAGCTGGTAATTTTAAGGTTAGCTCTAATTTAGATTATAATGGTCGATTACTGTGTATCAACGTGCGAACACTTGATGGAAAATTGCTGGTTCTCTATACGTTAGAATTCTTCTTTAAAATCTGCTTTCGAAGTCGTCTGGGCATTGGGAAGATTAATTAGATTTAAAGATGTTTTTAATGCCTAAAAAAGCAGGTTAAATCCCACTTTTAGAAAAGTTTTGATTCCGAATTCCCGATCGATAGTGCTTCTCTGTGGTGTGTAGATCTCGTTTAGTTTCTCAAATTGACGAAAGAAAGCCACCCATGAACTTGATGATCTCGATGCTTTTTCCGTAAAAACATTTAAAATTGACGTTGAAATGTCCTTTTTTTGTTAAAAATATGTTGATTTGAAAAATCAATATTTATTGCCGTGGAGAGTGGCCTAAATATCGAGGGAAACGTTTGATCAAATGCTTACCTCCCATTACCTAACTGAATGGTAAATGACTATTACAGCAAGTCAGTACCGTTGCGTAAAGTGTTAGGAGAAGTAGACTACGAGCAGTCTTGCTTTTTTCTGTATTCTGTCGAGCAAAACGCGAGATAGGCAAATGGCCACGCGCGTGACTGATGGCCCTCGTTTCGCGCGTCTCGCGGCTTCGCCGCTCCCGCGCGCGTGCATTGCTCTCACTAAATTTGAAGAAAAGGAGAGACTACTCGCAGTCTGTAGGAGAAGCTAATTGATGTGCCCGTTTTTCTTTGATCAGAATGGAAATGATATTGATCTCAAACCAGCTGGTAGCCGACAGGTGATGAAGCATTCGTTCGTTGTACATTCTGGAGATTCTATGAATGGAGATGTGTTTTTCATGGAGGTAGGTCTCAATTCATCGCCGCACCGCGGATAGCCTGCGAACAGCAGACGTATTTCTGGTCGCGTGAGCAGACACATTTTCGGTCGCGCGTTTGCTGTTCGCAGGCTACACCACGGAAGGGTGGATATAATTATGCTTTTCGTAAATTCTAAATCTAATATGGAATAAACCGTTAATAAGAAATTTAAAACATAATTTTTTTTTTCGTTGAAAGTTCTTTCCTCTGCCATTTTCTCGGCAAGTTTTAGTTTATCATCGAGCACAGTTTGATTGAATGTTCTTAGAAGGGTTCTTTGTTTTTGAATAATTACTGAAGTATTTGGAGCTTCAAAGGCTTCCTGAAAAAGAATACGTCAATGTTAATAATACGCCTATAAGAAGACAAGAAGACAGTTCGCATTTATGTAATTTACGACCCCATTTGCATTTGTGTATGTTTTTTTTAATTTAAATTTTAAAACGCCTACATTTGAAAAAAAAATATGTACAATGGGTTGTAACATTTGTAATTTTTTTGTGCAATTGCAATTATCGAAAACCGTACTTCCATGGTCTAAAAACGATCGCCTAGCTACCGCTACCTCAATTCTAATAATACACCTTATTTCAAATTGATGGCGAATTTAGTCTTCCCGATATTGGCCTTTTATACATTGTTTCAAGGCGAAAGCTCTTTTGAAACCCACATAAATATTAAAGGCAAGTAATATTGTCACCATGTTGGACTAAGGGGCATAGACAGATGCAGATTTGCGATACTATGACCGAAATCAAAGGGAGGCTCTCAGTCAAAGACGCACGTAACCTAGCAACTAAGGCCAGGGCTAAAAGTCGAACTGTACATGTAACGGCGGAACTAGACTGGTTACAGTTCCCAATTTTTTCATTAAGTCGTCGGGATCGAGCGGTTACTGTTACGGATGTCCATGCTATCAAATGTACCGAGGGGGTAGGCCCCGGGCTTTGTAGCGGTGGGAGAAGGGGGGCGAGATAAATAGAGGGTTCCTCTATTTTTCACGCCTCCTCCCAAACCAACCTCCGCCTCCTAAGTAGATTTGATACTCTTCCCATGTTAGTGTCGGTACATTTGAAACCAAGATGGACGCCCGTTAAAGTAGGTGCGCGATCCCAACGATCTTACGAAAAAAATAAGGGACTGTGAACAGTCTAGTGACGAACGCAATGCTAATGAGCACAATCAACAGAAACCTTAAAATTCCGAAAATAAGCACTGGGGCTTATATTTTTCAAAGGCCCTTTTTGAGGGGCTTATATTCGGAGGGGCTTATGTACTTAGGGAAATTTGCGTCTCAAAATCGATTGGACTAGCCTTATAGTTGGAGTAAATTTACCGTTTTTGCTTTGTTTTTCTTTGTATTCGAGGGCAATTTTCCAATTACAAGCCCCCGGGGGGCTTGCATTTGGAGGGGCGATTGAACGGAGGGGTTTTTACGTTACGGGTTTGGGGGGCTTATACATGGAGAGGCTTATTTTCGGAATTTTACGGTATTACTCTTGAGCATTAGGTTCGTCGTATGTGAAGTGCGGCGTTTGACCCTGGCCAGAGAGGAAATTGAAAAAACACATCCAGGAATAGCCACGACTAAAAACGCTGCGAAATGCGTTTTTGCTAATTAACACAATACGAAGGATTTAGAAAACACTTCGGAGGACATCTCTCCTAATATTTATTAATACTCTCAACTCCAATCACTGCGAGAGCATATTTTGACATAATTAAGTAACAATCGTAAAATTATAGGAATTTTCTCTCTCTAGGATGAAATTAATATTTGTTTATCATAGCCAGGAGCCCACAAGCGCAAGCTATCAACTTCCGTGTACTCATGTCACGGCATTTCACCGACAAGTTTATTTGTAGAACGATGTTGGCTTGAATTCAGAATATCTTTGACTAGAAACTAGTCAGCAATACCTCCAGCCCTGGAAACAATATTTAGACATTTTACTCAAGTGACGTTTTGTTTTCAATTTTCATACCGTATACTTCAAATGCGCTCGTAGATAGAGCAACGTTACTTAACTGCTTCTCCTCTCTATCATCCTTCCATAAAAACGCCGTGATATAGGGCTACCGGGTAGTGTGAGAGTTGCTTGTTCCGGGCTATGAGCTCCTGTCGTAGCCAAGTAATGCTTAACCTCAGCACTCTTTTTATGCATAGGTATGTGACGATTGTATCCTGCTAAGAACTGGAACGGGGACGATCGTGGAAAGATGGTGGTACGAGAAAATAGTGAACATCACTTACGCTCCCAAAACTAAAGTACTATGTCTATGGTGCAGGCAAAAGGAAGAGACCATTCTAAACAAGTTCTGCACGAAAAAGGTTGGTCTCATCCCCCTGGAATAACAGAGAGCTTTAGATTCCAAGCCGAAGACGACTACGGGAACCAGCGTCATTTTGGCGGGAAAACGTGATAGCCGTCATCACTCTACCACGGGTTTTAGCGAGAGTGCTGTAGTGGCGAGAACAAGTTATCGAATGTTAAAAGCTTTATCATTTCGCGGTCGGAAGGGGGTTTAAACCCCTAAAATAACCCGTGCTCACTTTTGTGGTCTCAAAAAAGTGAAATGAAGCCATCTCGGAAAACGCGAAAAAAAAAATTGAAGTCAAATCTCGGTCTTCGTAGTCATCCGCGTCCTTGAATCCCGAGCTCTCCTTTATCTTCTCGCTCATGCCCATGCCCTGGAATTTTTTCGTGAGCAATTGATTTGTCGAGTGATTGTTGATTAATTTATTTAGCCATTATTATGTAGTTAAATGAAATTTAACACAGTTAACAGGTAGGAGCACAGCCGTTGGTCAGCGGTCATTGCGTTGGCTTAAGCGCGGTCAGGCTTGTTTGCATCATCTCCTTGTGCTTGTTACAGCATTTCCTGGCGGCCTCTCTCTTCGTTTAGCCCTTGGATCATTATTTTACCCCTATCCCTTCCCCCACCCCGCCTTTATTTTTTCCACTGATAAATCAGTGTGACCTGCGCCTGGTTCCATTGGCGTGGGGGTTCATGGCTGGAAGGCGCGGGTTTACCAGCTATGGGGGGCGTAACTCGTGTCTTGGGGCTGCCTTTGCCAAAAGCAGAAGCCCCTGGACATCCCGGGCACCCACATCCACCAAGCGACGCAGCTGTTAACTATTTATTTATTCTATTTACGCAGTGTAAAGCTTTGTATTACTGTATCAAGGAAAGTTTGCAGAGAGCAGCAGACAGGCTGAACGACAAAGGATCAGGTTAGTGAGGCAATATGGTCATTTTTTTATAGAGAATAAATATCACTGTGTTGTTGGACTGTAGCAACGAGAAATTTTGTTTGTTTGTTTCTGTTTTTGTTTGTTTGTTTGTTTGTTTCACGACTTTTCATTGTCTATGGTGAATACGTTCCCCATAATTGTTGTGTACAGCTTCTTGTTTGTAGTAATTTATTTGTTTATCAACAAATGTGGAATCGTTTATGTCTCTAGCTTGACATCCATGTATTTGAAATAGTGTTAGTGCTTGTGTATCTGATTTGACAATGGTATCTGTTTGTGCGTAATTTAAGTCATTTTGTGCATCTATGTTTATTTGCTTTGTGTTTGTCTACTTGTGTACTGATTTCCCTTACACTTCTTTCCCTTGCAGATTGAGTAGATACCAAATTACTTGTGGACCTTTGTGTTGTAGCGTCAATTTGTTTTGTTGTGTTGTTATTCATTTTCAGCTTGTGTTTTCATTACCCGCGGTGTCTGTAACGTAAGACTGATTGACCATTATCCTCGTGCATTACTGTACTATGTCCTTTGTCATTCATTATTTAGCCTGACCCCACGACCTGTGAAGCTTTGTTAGTGTTAATCGTGGGTAGACCTTTTATTCCCAAAGTATATAGGACAATCTTTGTTTACACTTTTTGCCTCATTAACATATGCTTATCACTATTTAATGACGCTAATAAAATAAAAACAGTGAATGTTTAAAGGGCATAACAGTTTCAGTTATCTCTGAAAATTTGAGCCCAATCCACCGAATGGTTTCGGAGAAATTCTCTTCTAAAAACTCGAAATTTTACAGAGAATGTATGGCTCATTAACTTTTTTACCACACAGCAATTTCGCAGTTTTTGACGGCAGATATTTCCTTCAATATTGCTTGCAAAGAGCTGAAAATTGCTCAAATTACTCAACGTAATCCTCTCTTTCAACTTTTGCATTTAGTTCATACACAGCTATTTCGAGAAAGGTTGTCTGAAAAAATGTGCACGCGACAATCCCGGAAGGTAATAATTATAAGATATGAGCAATACACTGTTCCTGACACTGTAGCTGTCGAAACTACTTTTGTTGCTTTCCTTTACCACTCGCAAATATATGTCCATGGCCTCTCGTGCCATTCTTTCAAATTTCTTTGAAGAACAGTCAACTCAAAACCACCCACGATACCTTTCGGGATTGTTGCGTGCACTTTTTCCGACAGCCTTTATCGAAATAGCTGTTTACGGCCGGCCACGGATCTATGAGTTAAGTCGTATGCTAATGAGGAAAAAGTAAACAATGACGTCAGCAAAGATTCTCCTATCGAGGGCACATCTTATCTAGGGGAAGATGGTAGTGTCAGCCATGGCACTCTCTGAGATTATTTGCTAAGGGTCTTAGATAGTTCTTAAAGTAACTTAGCGGCTTTTCCGGTAATCCAGACCTTAAGATAAAGGGGAGCTCCAGTCTCCAAAAAAATTTTTTCTGCCCTTCGGGCCTCAGTTCGGTCTAAGAATAAGGTGGAGGCGGGTCCCCCCGGGCCCCTCCCCCCTTCCCTAGATCCGTTACCGTGTAATGGCTTGCACTTGGTGAGTCCGTATAATTAACGCTAATTTATTATCATGTTTATTGTTTTGCAGGTGTACAGCTAGGAGGAGAATTTCCTGTCAAGGTCGGTAACTACACTACCTTACATTGTCCACGTTTTAAACCAAGATACGATACCACGACTTCATTTACTAACGAATTATTAGTCCCTTCTAGGATCTAAGCACCAATGAAGGCGGTTTTCTACAAGTTACACTGGAGGGAATCGGCCTGAAGTTTGCCACGAGAAGAGTAGGTTGATTATTCTTTATATCTTTTATCTTTTATCTACTTGAACCCCTCCCAACCACCCCCTCCCCCCTCTCCCACCACCCAGGGTCTTCTTTTTTGCATGTTCTTGAATGAGGAGAAGCAGAAAAGACGGCTCTGGCTAAATCGCGTCAAGCCTTTGAAGTTTCCTACTGTTTTTCGAGTGTGAGCATTCGGTTCTTGATAAACCGATGGCCATATCTGAGCCCTCCGTGCCAGACGCACGGCTATTGAGCCTGGGTTCGAAACTGTATCCCAGCAACACCAGCGCATGCTCAACAAGGATCTTACTAGATTCGTGCAGAGTCTTCTCGAGAAAGCCAAAATCGTGCAAGTAAAACAAAGGCATTACTAGCAGAGTGGCTTCCTCGTGGAAATCAGGGTCTTGAATAACTTCTTTTTTATTTTTCTTTACCTTTGCTTTTTTCGTAAAAGACAAATATCACTAACTGTATAAGAGTAGATTAGCTGGAGACAGAGGCATTGCTCTCTACCTCCTGGGACAGTAGTGTTCACTCGGTAACTGATCTTGTTATTTGTCAGGTTCACATTGACTTGTGTCACATCAGGAACTGTTCTACGCAGGGAGGCGTGTTTCTGTTGGAGGAATTTGGTAAGTACTTGGCGACACTGTTTACCGATGATCCAGTTTGGAACCGTTTAGGTACAAGGTTTCAAGAAAAGGAAAGAAAAAAACTGTTATTTTGTTGTTCAATGTCAGTAGGCTTAAGAATAAATAGACTTTAGCGTTTGAAACCGTTCGAGATCCGATTATCGATTATCGGGAAATTGTTTGCACAAAATTACCGTTAACACCAGGTAATATCGCAAGAAAGCAACCTTTGATCGGACGGGTCTTCTCTACCAGCTATGTAAATAGTATTGTAAACTTTGGATTAACATTATGCTGAAACATTTATTCTTGCAGTGCCATCCACGCAAGAAACAATTCAGCACAGATTTGGCTCACAGATGGTACGTACGTTTTTTGAAATATCTTTTTTGCCTTGCTACTCTTGCTTCTTTGTTGATTCGTATTTACCGATTAGTCATACTTAACGCTAGCATCAAAATTAAAATTCCGATTTGTTATCCCTATACATTTCCTATAGAAGTGGCGGGGAGATATTGGAGTATCCATTAAATTCATCTCGTGTGATTATGTACCGACTTTGTTTTGTAAAGCAGAAATATTACAAGGAGACATTTGGTGCCGATTACGCTTAATAGCCTGCGAGCAAGCTCTCTTGGGAGCCCTGGGGTTGGGGGAGAAAAACTCGTTTTCTTCCGACCCCCCACCCCCCTTGTTGTTCTGTGCAGCAAGAAAGGGGGAAGGAGCCCGGGACAATTGGGGCAGGAGGGGTATGGGAAGCGGAAGCGAAAAAGGCAGGAGGTGGAATTTCTAAAAGGGAGGGAAGCGGAGGAAATATGGGGCAATTACCCAACGATGCTAAATATTTCTCAATCGAAAAAGGGCTGAAATGAGGAAGCCAAGAAAACAGGGGCGGGGGACGGGTGGTTTGTACACCCCACCCCACCCCACAGTCATGGTTCCTTAATATTTCTCTCTCTAAATAGTACGTATTGGCTTTATTTTCAGTGCAATCAGATTTGCTATGCCGTACTCTGCCTGTTCTCGTACGTGGCAGCCTCGCGGAATACAAGTAACACCGGATAAGGATTTCAGTCTTCAGTTGGGTCTGTGGCATTATAGACACCTCCCCACTCCTGTCCCCTCAGAAGTGCAAGGGCGGGGCCTTGTCCAGCGAGAGCTTCAAGCAATCTGAGCACGTATGGGTTGGATTCCGTGAACTGCATGAATCGTCACCTTTCGATTTGAATCCTGTCAAACTTGCAGGAAACGTTTTTTCGCACCAGTCTAGAGCTAACATTCACAACTCTGCTATCTTCCATTAATCTATTGTACGGTAAATGTTTGCACAAATGACTCTCAGAAACTCTTTTCAACCAGATCACGTAAGTGATGAAAAATACTTTTTAGCTGGTAAAACGAGCACCTTTTTAGCTATTTGCACGAAAAAAGCTTCTCTGTGGATCTTAACGAACGTCTGCAAAAAAAGTGAGATTTATGGAAAGTCTGCTCCTTGATTATGCAGTAATTCATTTAGGCCAGGCTGATATACAGGTCTAAGACATCTCAGCATCAATGAATTAGTCATTACATCCAATGATTCATTACTAATCCACTACGCTCAGAAGAACGTAAATAATTGTCGCCTTTATTAAACACCTTCTTCACGCCGATTTAAACAAGCGAAAAACCTGCGTAACGGTCACAGGGTTTGGCTCTTTGATACTTGTTGTTGAAGGCTTCACTCCACAAGAAGGTTCAACGCCTGTTGTTTTGGTAAACATCTTCAAACTTCAAAAATTTTTCGACGGAAGTTGCGTCCTGCTGTAAGGGAAATTAATTAATTGCCACAGAAATTACGGGAGTAAGACTCATTACACAACTGAATCAGGGAAATTCCTGGGAAAAAACCGTGAGAGCCTTGGAAACAACTGGTAGCACGTTTAATATATGCATACATTTGCATGGGAGTCAGTTCCTCTTCGACTGAGCGTACATACATTGTACTGAACAACAAGGTTTTAACAGCGATACCAGTCTGAATCCAAATGTGAAATATAAATTATCTGTATTTATTAAAAACAGAAGGTTGTAAAATAGAACGCAAAAGCGACTATGTCTACTAAATTATTCAGTTTTAAGCGGTGTAACCCGAAAGACAAATTGTTTTAGTGTAATGGTTAAAGAATATGCGAAATAAAATACATTGTAAGTTAAAACATGTTTGCAGTGAAATTTGCAAATAAAAAGGGATTTTATATTTCTTGTGTGGTTCCTTATTTCACAAGCTGAGATGCTGGCATTTGGAGATGCTAAGATCCCATCTGCGATTGCTCCAATTATCCCTACCTCCCCCTGCCGCCTTCCACTGGGGGAATAAAACAAAAGACATGTAGGAATCAATCGGGAAACCGATCTTCCGAGGGACTATCCGTATATATAAATCAAAAACTCGCTAAAGGAGTCGCCTACATCCCGTCTGAAAACAAAAACATAATATGGTGTAAACTTGATAAAACTTACTTCAACTTTCAAAAGGATTGTAGGAACAGTTTATTTAAGCCCACCAAACTATGATTGGGGAATTAGAAGAAGAAATGTTTTTATTTTCACAAAAGGGTCACATAATTGTTCAGGGTGATTATAATCCACGAACGGGTGACATTCAGGAAAGAGTCTTAGATGATGACAACGCCTTACTGAATGTCCCTGAGGACTACGAGAATGACGAACAACGCTTCAGACGGTCACAAGATTCAGGTATCGTGAACGCTAGGGGTAAAAATTTGTTAGAAACATGCACAGCGTTAAATTTACGAACTCTCAATGGAAGGATTGTTGGTGACCTGGAAGATAGAAAGACCTGTTTTCATTGTAACGGTAGCAGTGTTGTTGATTACGTCATAGGATCAAAAAGTGTTCTAAGGAATGTGCAAAATCTTATTGTTAACCGATTAATGCCACATTTATCGGATCACTGTCACCCATCATTCGCGATAAAAGCCAACTTTGTTAACCGAGATTCTTTTGAAACATCAGCCGAACTCATCTTGACCGAATATAATAGGCTTTTCTGGAATATCAAGGCTAAGGACAGACTTAAGGATGGTCTCAAATTACAAACAGTTCAATCCAGGTTAGAAGCAGCTGTAAAACATGATAGCATCGATACTGCGTCTGAATTAATTAGTGAAACTTGGGTAGAAGCATGCAAAGAAGCCGGATTGAAAGCGAGAGGCAGCAAAATTAAATGCAAATCACAAAACAAATGGTTCGATCTGGAATGCGAAAAAGAAAACTTGCAATCCCTTGGGTAGAAAATTTCTAACCACACTAATAATTCAGAACTGAGACAACTCCTGCGCGACAAAAAGAAGTTCAAACAAACTTGTAGACGGAAGAAACGGGAGTCTATCAGCAAGGGCATGTCTAATATCGATATGCAGAACTCCAAAGAGACCTGGCGACAAACAGGAAAAATCTTTAACTTAGGAAAAAGAAAAACACATGGAGCTGAAACAGTGAGTACGCAACAGTTTTATAAATACTTCAAGCAACAGAATGCGACCCCTCTCAATAATATACTAGATCAGGAGACGAATATGGAAAAGCACAGTAACGAAAGAGTGGAAGACCCAATTGATTATCCAATAACTGATGAAGAGTTCGAGTATGCAATTAACAAACTGAAGGCAAACAAATCTCCAGGTTTCGATAATATATTAAATGAAGTAATAAAAATCGGAACTGACGCCATTAAAGAGCATTTAGTAAATTTATTTAATCGAATAAATCCTAGACGTTTTAATATCCATGTACTCAAATGATAAATTGGCAGTTAAAATTGATAACAAATTAACCGAATTCTTTACTTGTCATGCCGGGGTAAAGCAAGGTTGCATGTTGTCACCTACTCTTTTTAATTTCCATCTAAGTGATCTACCAAAATTCCTAAATACGGCGAGTTCAACCGACATTATGCTAAGTGAGAAGCATATAAATTGTCTCTTATATGCGGACGATCTAGTGATCTTCTCTAGATCAGCAAAAAGCCTTCAAATAATTCTTAATAAGCTGGAATCTCTCTGTGATAATGCCGATTTAAGTGTAAATTTAGACAAGGCAAAAATTATGATTCTTAATTTACTGTGGTAAGACTTTAAACAACTACTTGTTCAGATACGGCGTTGATGAACTGGAAAACGTCAAATCCTACAAATATCTTGGACTCATAATGAGTCCTTTTGGAAACTTTAATCTCGCTAGGCAAGAGCTGAGGAAAGTTGCACTTAAAGCACTCTATATAAATTACGAAAAGAGATGGGAAACCACTTCAGAGAAAATATAAAATTAACGATGAAGTTATTTGATGCACTGACATCTCCCATACTCTTTTATGCGAGTGAAGTGTGGGGGATTGATTGCAATGGACAATTAGAAAAGGATCCGGCAGAATTAGTTCAAAATAAATTCCTAAAGTGGTTGCTGGGAGTTAATAAATACTGCAATAACAATGCGTGCAGGGCTGAGACAGGAAGGTTCCCAATGAGAATTGAAGTCTTGGCAATGTAGGAACTTTAAGTTCTGGTTAACCTTAACCAAAAATGAAAACAAATTATCCCAAATAGCATACAAATGACATTAAATGGAATGAAAATAAAGCTCTCTGGGGCAAAAAAAAATCAAAAGCTTATTGGAACAGATAGGATTAGGAGAACTCTGGATGAAAGCACACTATGTGGACATAGGAATTGTAAACATGATCAGGCAACGACTTAAGGCATACTCTTGCCCTCAACATGGCGGCCAAAACTACTTTTTGCTTGTATCTTGTTAAACGTTTGATAGTTACTCTCAGATGTGCTGTAAAAGTTACCACATCATCTTTTAAACAGTTTCCTAGAAGTTGAAGTGCAAAATTTCTGTTCAGAAAGAGGTAATTCATAGTTTTATAAATCACATTTTGGTCACGTGACCAGCTACGAACTTACTCTTTTTAAGAAAATGGTGCGGGTTTGAAAAACTAAATCACTATTATTTTGTTTAAGATATGACCCACTAATCGTTTTTTGAAGGCAAAATCATATAACTTTCATTTTCATAAAAATGATGTCACATGACCTCTTCAGTAGTGCAAATGGCCTATTTGCTCAGCTAAACAAGCTCAGCTCGCGAGAGAGCTCCGCTATAAAAATTTAAAAAGTAAAGTTATCCCTGTAGGTCCCAAGAGTGACCAACATCAATTTTCTCCTAACAACATCAGCACATCATCAAGGGAAAAGGCTATGAGAATTGATAAATTATTAAGAGAGAACGCTTTGATCCTAAACCAAATTCTCTTAATGAGTCTGAAAAGAAATGTATGGAGATCAATGTGGAGAATTTGTATGTGAATCTTGTGGCTTAAATGGTTATAAGGGAGTAATGTTTCCAAGACGGGGGTATACCCTGCTTTGTACTGAGGATCACTGAAACGAACAGGAAAAGACAGACAATTTGTGTTTTCAGGCAAATATTTTATTCAATTTCAGATGTCCATGCTCAGTTTCTTTTGTATTTGCTGTGCTCACTTATTTAACTAGTCCTTTATATTAATATCAATCGTTTAATAATGTTGTTACATTTTGATTTTTCTATTTTGATTTTATGGTTTGCTCACTTAGTTTTAAGTTATCTTCTTAGCTTGCGGCAATTTTTAACACATAAACAGTGCTTTGTACGCATTTAGGATAGTTATCCTGGCATAGGGTAAGCGCAGAACCCGATTCCAGGAAAAGGAGGAAAATAACAGTTATTCGGGCAGCAGTTTTTGTCCGAGTTACAATAATAGTATTTGCACCTCTTGGCCAGTGCTGGCTGAACCTCGTCATCACGCTTCTCCTGACGATGAATACGCCTGGGTGCTGCCGCAGCCATGATGCAAAGCTGTCGTCGATATAGATTTCATTCTGTTGGTAACAAAAGGTTATTTAAGGGCTATACCTCAGGGGCTGTGAACATGGAGGGAGTCAGACCTTAGAAGGCGGATCATCCTAGCACCAAATGTTTTCTCTATTCAGTTTACATGCAAAGGGTTGTATTTGTCCCCAGCACTAGCAACTTCCTAGTACTAAAATGTTCCTAGCTAAGAGGTAGGAGGATCCTAGCACGAGGAACATCCTAGCACCGTGGGTGCTTACCATTTGACAGAAAAATCTGGTTGGGGTGTCGAAAGCATAATGGTAAGCGATTTACCAGTTTACCGCAGTATTGCCACATCCCGGTTACGGTTTGAATCAAAAAAGGGGGCGAGTGAGTCTGGAACCGAGAAATTGGTAATTGGTAAACGTACTCCTTCATTTTCGGTTGGAATTTCCGAAAAGTGACCTTACCATTTACAATCCGTCCGGAATTTCCGAAATTTTCTGTCAAATGGTAAGCACCCCATGTAAACTGCTTTCGCTAAGAAAATCCTAGTACAAGGGACAAACCAAAACAAGATGGCGGAGAGTCGTTCAGTAGGTAATCTTTAACCTTTAATCTTTAACTCCTTCTCTACTGTTAACCACACGGACCGAAATTTCTAAAAGGTAAACCCAACGCAAAGTTGTTCCGCCTTTCCCAATCACCCAACCATTTATTTAGATGTTAGCGTAGTCGCCAGACCCGTCTCTCTTATTGGCAGCTTGCGGCTCAATTAGCTTGTTGGCTTGAAACATAGCGACAATAAAGCACAAACAGGAACCCATAACCGTCAGTGAGCAACTCCCTTGTACTCATGTCACGGCGTTTTTACAAACCAGTTTATTTTTAGATCGCTTTTACGGCTAATTTTGAATATCAAATTAGTCTCACAAACTCTTCATTGGAAAAGTCAATGAAATTCTTCTTCGATTTGTAGTTGTAAAAAACCTGGTTAGCTCTCTACCAAACAAAGTTTTGAACCATGAAGATCGGATATTAGGCTCCAAGGGGCGGATCCTTCTTTTACATATTAGAAAAAAACTTTTGTCAAACATTTTAATTACTAAGAAAATATTGACAGTACTAAGAAATGAGTTTCGACGACTGCCTGCTACTTTTATCAAGTATCGGTTACAAATTTAATGTTTCTAATGCTGTTCCTTGTAACTTGTTCTGTGCTACTTACCCTAGAAGGGGGTGATACAGAACTCCTTTGGACTAAATCAGTTTTACATTTTCATTGGCAAAGGACCCAGAATTGCTAAATGAATATCTTGGCAAAATAATTCCCTTCAGTAAGTCTGTCAGTGAAACATTTCATTTGAGTGTAAATTTATACCGTGAAAATACTAAAAATTTTAGATCAATCAAAACTAAATAAAATCATTTTTCTCAATTAAAATTGCAGGAAATCACTGTGAAAAAAATAAAAACGCTTTTAAATTCCTTAGCATTTCCTACTGAAGCCAGCTTAGTCGTGAAGAGTGTTATAAGGCTCTGCGCGGGTTTGTTAGAACGTTAACTGCTATACTCAACTTGTTCATCAAAAGCCTCAAGAATTCAATTACTCAGCACTAAAGCAATCCACTTATCTTTGTCTTTATGGTAAAACATCGCAAAGTCGGATTCACGATGTTGAATCAGTTCATTGAGCTGAGCCAATGAGGATTCTGCGGTGCCTATCTTTAATAATGCTTTTTTTTTTTTTCATGTCTGTGTTTTTTTCTTTCGTTTTCATTAAATAGACCAAATAAAAATGGGTTACAAATCGAATCAGATTTCTTTAAATTTCTACTGAAAAACTTTGAAAAGTCGAGAGTATTAGAAACTTCTAACAAGCGCAGGTTATAACTTGCCGCATTAAAACAGGATGCAAATTGGACTTAGCGGTCTTCCCAAAACCAAGCGAACCATAAGAATGAACGGTACTTATTGTAGTCATAGAAGAGTGGGAGGAACTTTGCGCTCGGACAGTTTTAGCATCGTAAATAACTAAGATACAAAAGCACAAACAAAGCCGACGCTGATAAGCACTTTTGCGGGAACTACCCTTAAAGTTTAAACCGCACGCTACATTTAATCAGCATGGAATTTCCTAAAGTGACTTTAACAAATCAATTTCCTAAAGTAACTTTAACAAATCTTTTCGGAAAAATAGAAAGGAGTAATATATATATTCTTTGAAATTAAAGTGAAAGAAAGTGAAAGTGTTTGAAAACTTATTAGAAATTATTTGAAGAAACTCGACTGCTAGTAAAGAATGTTCATTTAATTAATTAAACAAAACGTTTGCAGGCGGGGGGAATTGGGTTTGCTAGTTAGGTTTTGCTCTCTTAATTTCTAATGAAATAGTAGGTATATATGTTTCAGGCTAACTGAAAAAAGGTATCGAGGACTGCTTTCTGCCACTATAAAGTATGACTGAATGTTTAACTAGTACCTCAGTAACTGTTTCTTTTTATTGGCCTCAAAAGTAAGAGGACTTTGTAGTCAGACATTTTTAGTACCGAAAATAAGGCATAAACTGGTATGAACTCTATACAAAAGCATCAAAAGCTTTAAGATGAGAAGCAGAAGTTTGAAAGTATTATGATAGTTTATTAGTCACGCTTTTAGCCATGTATGAACACATGACATACTTAAGTTATGATCCCTAGCTGGTATTCCTGTATCTGACCTATCATACGGCGGATGTGTGAGATGTTGAGTTCTGTTTGTTGCGTTTTTCGTATTCTTTGACTAACGTGGTACATACAGCTAACGAGAGAAAGCAGTGAGTTAGCCGGTCGCTTTGCAAGAGCTTGAAAATGATTTTAATTAAAAACGTTACCCCAAAACGTTGTCACGGTTGCTTACGAGAGGTGCTCGTTTACAAAAGGTTTCATATTTAAGGCTTTAAGTCCCGATAGTGACCAACATCAATTTTCTCCTGACAATATCCATACAATGTCAAGAGATTAGGTTATTAAAATTAACAAAATGATCACCAAAGGGAAAATGCTTTCATCTTTTATCAAATTCTCCCAACTCATCCATGAAGGAAATGTATAGAGATCAGTTTGGAGAATTTGTACGTTGATATTGGGCTTAAAGGGTTAAGGCTTTAACTGAAAAGTTTTTAGTATTTTGGAGAGATGGTCGCTTACGAGAGGTCGCACATGAAGGTTCAGCTGTAATTAATTAATTGATTTAGTTTTCTTCATCCGTATTTAGTTTTCATAGTATGTTCTTTTTTCACTTCGCTCAATTTTTCAGGCTGAACTGCTTCCGAACACACGGCGTCTTTCCCCAGAAAACTTTTCTCCATATAAAAGTGACCTTGGGGTTTATAGGTGAGGTGTTCTTTGTTCTTACACAGGCGTTGTCTCTAAATGAATTTGCTAATTCATGAGAAGCAGTAATCACTGGGCTTAAATTTGACCCGGTGCCGCCCCATGGCTATTTGTTTTGGTATTTTAGAGATGGAAATATGAGAAATTCCAGGCACTGGATTCCTGATTGTTTGTCAGTGGAACTTGGATTCCGGATTCCTAGAGCTGTATTCCGGATTTTCCAGAGTCTGCAGCAAAAATTTGCTGGATTCCGGAATCGGAATTCCTTTACATGGTGCGACATAAACGTAAAACTATAAAATTTGACGTGGTGAGAAAACGACCCGTTATAAAGAAAATCCTAATCAGCTAAACAGACTACAAAGAGCAGGAAAATTGCATCGTCTCAAATCATAGCCTATGTTATCTGAAGCGTCCCAAACGGAATGGCGCGAACCATTTGATTTTCCAACCCGAATTTCCGGTTCTCGCATATAAATGGTAAGTACCCCAGGTCCACCTTATTTAATAATTTTAAATTGCTGAGTGTTCAATACAAATTGTTATTTGCATATTTCTTAACAAACGTCTTGTAGAAAACAGTAGCAAGCACTATAGAAGGCTTTTGTTTTAATTAAATTGAATCCTTGGATTCGTGCCCCTCCGTGCCTGCCGAAGGCGTTCAGTTGGTGGAGAGTAAAATTGCTGGGCGTTAATCACAAATAACCTTTTTTCTTAACAAAAGTGGCGTAGGAAACACTAGCAAGCATTAGAAGGCTTTTGTTTTTATCATGAAGTGAATCATTGGGTTCTTACCGTTCCTTGCCTGCCGAAGACGTTTAAATAGTGGAATAGGGGTGACGAATGGTCTTTGCGAGCATCCGCAAGAAAATTTTTTCCCGCTTTTTAGAATTGACCGAAACCGGAAACCGCTCATGAAAAGTCTCTGACACCCAGAGTATGGGCCTCTATAGAGTCTTTTCACTCACGTGGCCAGCATATATGCAAATTTATTGGAACAAAAGAAAGCGTTTGCATAAGAAAAGAGTTCAACTCCCATAGGACTGGTTTGGGACACCAACATGGCCGCCGTTTCATTGTTTTGGGACACCAATATGGCCGCCGTGACGTCATGTGAAAAAACTCTATAATAATTGGTTCAATCAAGATAGAATGAGCTCACGGATATTGCATAAAAGAAAGTAATGACTTCACACAGTAAATATTTTATTGCTGCAACGTTCAGTTTTTGCACCTACAACGTTCCCTATTCACTTTAAAATTCCATTAAGCAGACAAACTGCGAAAAGTCAACCACTGTAAAAAAATAGTAATGTTCACATGTAAACATGACCACACTCCGCACCTACGAGTAACTTAAACCATTACATTGATGCTTATGAGAAATACCGTGAATACGGAATGATTTACGCTACAAGTTGCTAAATTATATACGCGCAGCATTGACAGACCCAGACGTTCTGAAGCTAATAGTCTTCCGGTATGTAGTCTTCCAACTCTTCCATATTGTTACGAGGCATGTCTTGCAGCATCTCGTAGAATTTCTTCAAAAATTCTCTTTTCCTGGAACACCCCAAAATTTTCCTGCATCTTCCTGAGGAATCCTTCCTGTGGCACTTTGGACACCCTCCTCCTTTTAAGATATCAGACTCCGAGGCAACGACAAAAGCGGCAACAATAGCGATCAGCAGAAGTGTTTGAGACTTCATTTCGTCTAGAAAAAAATAGAGCACTCAAAAGATTAATAAAGTCCGTTTTGTCTTGGAAATATATCTTAGTCTAACTCGCAACCTCCGAATTCCAAGTGACGGGGATGATCCAAGGATTTTTTGGGTTTGAAATTTTCGATTCCGGGATTTTATTTGGGTAGGAAAATTTGGCAAGTAATTTTTGCGGGTTGGCTTGATTTAAGTTTAGGATTTTGGGGGGTATTTAAGACAATCTAAAGATTCGCGTTAGTGCCCGCGTATGTTAACTTCAGATAGTATGATGAATAAACAAGCACAAACATTCAATTTCTTATGTTTCTATTTTTCGCGTCATGTCAACGACATTCACAACTCTTAATTGATTTGCCGTAGCTATGGTAAATCAAAAAACCTATCTATCAGATATCTATCTCAGTCTCCCAAAAAAAGTTTTGAACTATCAGATATTGTACTCCAAGGTCGGATCTTTCATTTACATATAAAACTATGAGCATTAAACTGCAAACACTTTTTTAATAAGAAAATATATTAACCGTTACAAAACTGACAAAACAATGTTTCAACGATACGATTGCAATTGCTCGCTAAAAAGTGTATGTCAACTCCCCGGGGGGTGGTGTAGTCCCTTATATAAGTCATACAAGTATGTGCAGCTCCATCGGGTAGGGTTTTTGAGCCGTTTTGGTCTGAAAACGGGCATAAACTTTGCCCACTTTAGTCTGGAATCAGGTATGGCTTTCGAGGGTACTACAGCAGTGTATGAACGTATTTGTCGTACCAATTCCAAATGAAATAGTGATATACGAATTCGAAGCTGATTTTAAGAAATCTTTTATTTGGCGTTCAGCCGCGTTCTAATCTAAGTTATGATGACATAATTTCCTATAGACCAGGTCTGAAAACGGGTATGGATTTTAGAGGCCAGGTCTGAAAAAGGGTGCGGAAATTGAAATTTTTTTATCGAAAATAGGGTCAGCATTTGAAGAACCGGGCGGCACACCCCCACCACTGAAGAATTCCCAGGTGTCCCCCTCCCCCTCGGGGTCAATTGCCAATTCCGTCTTGCTGACACTATTACTATGTAATCATGGTAATGTAACCGGTTGTTAATGTAGCCAGTCTGTTGAGTGACGTTTGTGAACTACCGTAGAGTGAGAATTTCAAATAAAATAGCTATCTTGTTGCGTAGAGCTAAATGTGCACGTGATTTTTGTCATTCCTCTTTTGAAAACAGGTCAACATGGAAAAAAATTAAATTGTTGAATGGATCAGCAAAAAATTCCTGTGTTAGCAGCCTTGTATTGGACGACAAAGTGATTGATGATCATAGTGAACACTCATTTTGTCGACAATCGTCGATAAACTTAGGGTAAACTTAAAATGGATTTATAATGATACGGACTTGTCCAGGTTGACTAACTTTATTTTGTTAACTCAAGAAGAGATCCTGATGTTGTTTATTCACTCTTCAAGATATTACCGTTACTCAAGTAATTAGCATTTTAAAGAAAATCAGTTCAACTAAATCTGCTGTTATTGACAAGTTTAATACACGTTTACTTTATTTGGCAGCACTGATTATCTCGCCAAGTATTGCGAAGTTTCTAAACTACTTATTCTCATGCACCTGGAACGTTTCCTTAACGCTGGAAAAGAGCATAGCCAGAAATTCTAGACAGTCAGCGGCTTCACTAACCCGCGGGCTTGTAAATTTTGGTTTTCAATGTGGCGGATAAAAGAATCGAAAAAGGAAGAAAAGGCTCCTTCGTTCCTGATCTTAAATGAATTCCCTGATTACTGCAGCCTTCATGAGAATATGAGAATAATAGCATATCACTAACGATGTCTCTACCGAGTAAATTCTCCAAGGTTGGAAAGAATTTCTAGCGTTAATGAGGGGGGATAGGGGTATTGCGTTCTTGAGCTTGTTTTCAAGCGGGTTTTTTTTGGTAATTTTGATTTTAGACATTTTAATTTAATGTGCGGTATTGCGGTATCATCTAGCCCCGCGGTATCCGGTTTTTTATCCCTCTGGCGAACGGTATTCGCGATAAAAGAAGATCCTTCACGTACGGTGTTGCGGCACCGTTCATTTGTGCTCTCATGTCTGATGTAGGTCAATATTGGAAAACTTTAAACTTAACGGTAAATGATTACACAATTTTTGACAGTCACTTTATGATGAAATTGGTAGGACATCCAATGACCGGGCTTTTCGATCGTTGTGCCGATCAATTCGAGGTCTTCTCACGTTTTTTCGCGATGGCTGAGGGTTGATTTCTGGTGTATACATATACATCATGCTTGAGAAAAACAAACACGCGAGATGGATACAACTTTAAGTAAGCGTGACCGATCTTAAATGCGGTATCGGTTTTTCGTCGATTTTCGACGAGCGCGGTATTTGGTAAAGGCCCCAATGTCCCCCTCGTTAATGCCGCAAAATACGAAATTTTTTTTTCCCTTCTCTTTCTTTATACTTGGCAGCCATATTTTATCCACATTTCCGCGCACAGCGTATGCTCGTAGCCATTTTTGCAGCCATGTTGTATGGGATTTCTGGCTATGGCTAAAGTTTCTCATTGTTTTAAAAAAAAAAAAGAAGCAATCGATCAAGAGCACGGCGCGCGTTGTGGCAACGTTACATCAAAAGCCAATTCTTGTCATTCTTTAGCCACTTTTGTTTCACAACTATCTATTAACTTCTTTAAATACTGGAAAATTTTGAAATGTGGATAGTATTAGAAACTTCAAACAAGTACAGGTTACTTACTACTTTAAAACAGAATGCAAAGTGGACTTAGAGATCTTCCCAGCACCAGATGGACCAGCAGAATGAGCAGTAACTCAGTAACTGTTTCTACTTATTATAGTCATACAATAGTGGGAGGGAGTTTGCGCTCGAACAGTTTTACCATCGTAAACAAGCAAGATACAAAGGCATAATTGAGCATAAGGTACAATCAGTTGACTCCACCAGCCGTGTCAACTCGATCAAGGTGAGAAAAATAATGAGTGCATGCATGGGCGAGTGTTGCCTGAGGCAAAGGGGTCACCTTTTTTCTCATATAAACACTCGTTTAAGTTTACCAGGCTGGGAATGTGACTGTCTTTTCCGCAGAAAAGGTTTCTCCATATAAACTGGGCCTTGGAGTTTACAGTGATTTTACTTAACCCGTGAAATCGGTAGTCAGAGAATACTACGCACTATTATACACTAATTCTATTGTCTTCTTTTGTTTTATATTTGTAGATGTTTTGCACCAGTTGTTACTATCTGTTTCACGGTTCAGGTAAAATCACTCTACAGGTGAGTGTACCTTAACTTGTTCTTCAGTAAGCGTTATCACTTAATGAATTTGCTAATTAGAAGCAGTAATGACTGTGCTTAAATTTGACCCGATGCCCCGCAATGCCTATTTGTTTTTGTATTTTAGAGATGGAAATATGAGAGGCTTTATATTCTAACATTTTATCATCGTAAAAAAGGGATTAAAAAGCATCATAAAGCAGTATACTCAAGAGGAGAGGTTTCGAACGCTTCAGTGCTTAGCTTGTCGAATTTTTTAACATTTTGACACACTGTTACATATCAGTGCGCTCTTGAAAGGGCGGATACAGAAAATTCATTCAGACAGAAAATTGCCTTCATTTACCTGACAGAAATTCTTGTCAAACACTTTTAAAGAAAGAGAGGTTAAAAATGGATTGAGATTACTGTAAGCTCAACTGTTTTTGTTTACCACTCGTGTCGTAAGAGGGCCTTTACTCAGACATGGTTAATGGTGACAAAGGGAGTTACTTGTTGGGTATCAGTGCTGCTGGCCTCTCAGAACAACAACCCCATTAAAGTCTATTCTGTGGCCAATTATAGAACCCAACTTAGTCACGTTTGGGCTAATGTTATTTCCCTTTCAACAGAAGTTTCGAACGCTTCAGTGCTTCTCGTTGAATTTTTTAAACATATTGACACACTTTACTTATCAGTGTGCTTCAAAGGGCGGATCTAGAAAATTCTGAGAATATTGCCTTCATTTACAAGACAGAAACTTTTGTCAAACACTTTTGAAGAAAGATTAACGATCAGAAAGATTAATCAGCTGCGATTATTATAAGTAAAATTAAAAATGTTGCATTGAGTTATCTTTAGGGGCTTAGACTTTTCGCACATGTTTTCAAATGGAGTAAAACTACTATGAGCGAAAGCAAGATGGCCTTTGTTCTTAGACATTTCTAGCATTATAGCCGGTTAAGGTTAATGGTGACCGGGGGAGGGGTAATTGGGGAGGTACTTGGGCCAATTGGGTATTGACTGCCACTGGCCTCTCACAACGTCAACCCCATTACCGCGATTCTGTGTAATTTCTCCAATCCCAACTTAACAACTTTCTGTCACCTCTTTAACCGCAAGTGTTCAAATTTTTTAATCCCTTCCTACCAAGTTTTTCTTACCCCCAAAATCCTGAAAATATGCGACTCTATTCTAGCAACTTCATTAAAAATGCTACTACATCATAGTCAACTAGTCGTGAAAAAATGCTACCCCATCCAGCGGCACATCCCCATTAGCCTATTACTGGGAGGTAACCCCCCTCCGTTCGCTTCCCAAGGAATGGTAACAAACCGAGGATAGCATGATAAGCCGTACGCTTTGTTACTCAGCATCAATGAACACATTGACGCAGTATCAGATATTGTGCTCCTAATTATAGGGCAGATCAAGAAAATTCAGATCACAGAGATGTTCCCCTCGTTGTTAAAATGAGGCTAGGTATTTTTTGTCAAACACTTTTAAAAGAGGAAAGCAAGAAAGGTTAAGGCTGAAAATAAAAAGTATCGAGCACTGTTTCCTGTCACTATGAAGAAGTACTAAGTATGAATTCGAAAAGTGGCAGTTATATTTTATTTTATGTATTAAAAGATCGGAAGTAAGGACAAGTAAAAGAATGTGAAAATTATTCATCTTAACGTAAACAAACACAAAACAGTAAGAAAAATATTCATAAAATTTAACGTAATGTTTCGTGCAAATAGAACTGAGTTTGCCGTGTTGTTATGTTCTGACTCAAGGGTAATTGGTCACTAAATAGCGCCTTACTAATGCTCTAATCTTTTTGTTTTCGAAAATTCGTGTGCCTGACCTTACATTTCATTACGCGTTGTCTCTAAACAAATTCAGTATTAATTAAAAGTGGTTATGACTGGGCAAAAATTTGACCGGCCCATAAGTGACTATTTTTTTTATTAGTGTTAAAAGTAAGGAAAACTTTTTTTACTCGGACGCTGATTTTTAGTTTGCGCGTAAGACATACTAGTTTTACGCTTAATTGATCTTCCCAGGACCAGGTGAACCGACACCAACAATCACTGAGAATTAGTAAGGTTTTAACAAGATTTTGTTTTCTAAGAGCCGGCTTAAGAAATGGCATGTTGCTACAAGAGAGCCAATTCTATTTTACACCATACGCTCGCTTTACTTTGAAGTTCGGCAGCTCAGTTTTTGATCGTGCTCTACCAAGTTATCTAAGCGAAGACCTAGAAAGACTGCAAAACGTGCTATGAAGATTAGCCCTGAGCTATCATATGCTAAGGCTCTTAAGAGCTGTCAGGACTTTCAAAACTGTATGATAGAATAGGGGAAATTGCGGCAAGTTGTTCGACGCAATAGATGCGCTAATCATGCATCGCACAGTCTCAACAAACTACTTCCGAGTAAATTTTAGCCAAACTACTCTCTGAAAGAATACATCAGTGCAAAGAGTATAACTTAAAGAAATAAGGACAGTTTTCCATTAAGTTATGTTTACAAATGTTGAGGTCTAGAAGTGATTTGTTTCTTAATGTACATATAGAAACGTATGATTTTCATTATAGACGTACAATAGTGGGAGGGAGTTTGAGCTCGAACAGTTTTACCATCGTAAACAAGCAAGTTACAAAGGTATAACTGAGCATAAGGTATAATCATGTGACTCACCCAGCCGTGTCAGCTCGATGGTGAGAAAAATAATGAGTGCATGAATGGGAGAGTGTTGCTTGAGGCAAAGGAATCACCTTTTCTCATATACACACTCGCTTAAGTTTACCAGGCTGGGACTGTGACCTTCTTTTCTGGAGAAAACGTTTTCTCCATACAAACTGGGCGTTGGAGTTTAGAGTGATTTTACTTAACCCGTGAAATAGGTAGTAGAATACTACGCACTATTATGCACTATTTCTATTGTCTTCTTTTGTTTATTTGTAGATGTTTTGCATTAGTTAATACTATCTGTTTCACGATTCATGTAAAATCACTCTATAGGTTAGTGTACCTTGTTCTAATCAGTAGGCGTTGTCACTTAATGAATTTGCTAATTAGAAGCAGTAATGACTGGGCTTAAATTTGACTCGGTGCCCCACCATGCCTATTTATTTTTGTATTTTAGAGTTGGAAATTATGAGAGACTTTATATTCTGACAATAAGGGACAAAAAAGCCTCATAAAGCAATATGCCGAAGAGGAGAGGTTTCGAACGCTTCAGTGCTTAGTTTGTTGAATTTTTTAACATATTGTCACACTGTCACATATCAGTGCGCTTGAAAGGGCGGATCTAGACAATTCAGGCAGAAAATTGCCTTCATTTACCTGACAGAAATTTTTGTCAAACACTTTTGCAGAAAGTTTAAAAATGGAGTGAGATTACAGCTGTAAGCTCACTTGTTTTGGTTTACCACTAGTGTCGAAAGTAAGAGGGCCCTTACTCAGACATGGTTAAGGGTGAGCATGGGAGTTACTTGTTGGGTATCAGTGCTGCTGGCCTCTCAGAACAACAACCCCATTAAAGTCTATTCTGTGGCCAATTATAGAACCCAACTTAGTCACGTTTGCGTTGATGTAATTTCCACGATCCCAACTTGGTCACTTTCTGTCACCTCTTTAACTTCGCGGAAATTTTACTAGAACAGTAACTATATATTTTTTTATCGTTCTTCCCAGGACCAGGTGAACCAAGAGAATGAGGGGTACTTGACTGTTAATTCTGCTTTACTGATCATGAGGTCATGCAAGAGTGGGAGGGACTTTGCGATCGGACAGTTTTACTTAGTATCGTAAACATGCGAGGCC